CAATATCAATGGTTACTCTACCTCAGTAGTTTTGATAATATTATGCAACCTCTGAATAAAATCATATTTTCTGTAAAGCTCCGAGAAAAAAAATATGGATTTATGTATAAATTATTATGTGCAGTGATTATTTATTATATATTAATAAATCTATAAATCTATATTAATAAATTTACATTTTATAAAACTATATATTAATAAATTTAAATAATTTAAATACATTTTATAAATCTATATATATATCAATAAATTTAAATAAATCTATATAATAATAAATTTAAACACATTTTAATATTTTTAGCAATATCAAGTAATAAGAATCATAAAATGATTTTAATAATTTCTTCCTGTAATATTATTTGTTTGACCAAGATATAATTATAATCAAAATTAAAGAATTTAAAACCGAAATGGTTTTTCGAAAAGATATACAAATTAACGGAATACAAAACAGATATAATTAAAGCCTCGCTGAAATATCCATTCCAGGTTTGTTGCAGAAAATATTTTGGAGCATAGAAAGTATCGATCCTAATTCTGTTACGAAATGGTGATGCAAATTCGAGATCTATTGGCATCTATTTGCGTGAGATGCGCATAAATTTCTGCAATAATAATAAAAAGAAGATAATTAATAAAAATTTTTTAAAAAAATTTTTTTAAAATTAAATTTTTTTATACATACGCATCTTTAAATAAATATCATGATTTTTCCGACATCTGTTTGAGAATATCCTTTGGTGGTGGTGCTATAAAATAAATAAAGAAATATATAAATATCATTTTTTTGATTTAAAAATAAAAATGAATAAAGTTAATAAATAAAATATATAATTACGATTCTCTTTTGGTGGTAGTGGTGCTATAAAATAAATAAATAAATAAAATATCTTTTTTTTTTTTGATTCAAAAACAAAGAACAATGTCAATTTTAAATTCACACAAATTGTGTGGAATTAAATTCATGCAATTTGATTTTTTGCCATCAACAATGTCAATTTGAAATTTCTGTGTTCATGCAATCTTGATTTTCACACCAACAATGATTAGAATGATTAAAGTGTACCTCTTGGATTTTATCCATCACGACATTTTGAAACCTTAAGTAAGGTTTAAAACTTTTTGCGATTTCTTTTATAAGACGCCTCAAAGGAGCCTTACTAAGTGCAAAATTATTGTTGTCGTGATGAATACGAGAAGATGAAGGATAACTGTCAAGATTTTGATCCTCAGAAGGAGGAGAAGGAGAAGAAGGAGAAGGAGAAGAAGGAGAAGGAGAAGAAGGAGAAGAGAGAAGGAGAACGAAATGTTGATCAAAAGAATTTCATTTGAAGAAATTTGTAAAATATCATGATTTAATAAATCCCCCATCCACCAAATATTCGTAACCAATATCATAATGTCTTCTAACGGTGATGATAATAATTGCGGATTGATGTAGTAGGCAAAAGAGAAAAAATCGTATTTAAAGAAGTTTGAAGAAGGAAGATCGCATCCTTTTCCCTATCTTCTACTTCTTTTATATTTTCCATTTTCACTCCTTTACTCTTGCCAATTAGGAATAGGATTTCTTTGGATAAAATCTCGGAATTTTCAAAAGATAGTCGATTAAAACGTGGTTCAAATGATGATGTTAATTGTTCCTCGTTTTCCTTTGAGTTCAAAATGGGTTATATCAAAAAATCCAGGTCAATTAAAAACAAAACAAGCCATTTTGACACATTCAAAAGAGATATATTATTTACTTTGTTGTTCTCGTTTTTTCTTCTAAGAAACAAACAATAATTAATGTAAATAACCATGTTAATTTATATAACTAGAGTGACAATACACTGTAACTACCACTCTTTTTAATAATAAATAATATTTACCTTTAGGAACAACAACACGATCCTTTCCTTTTCTTTGTTAGTATAATTATTAGTCATTTCTTCTAATAAAAAAAATGAAAGTTTTTAACAAGTAGTAAGTTTGTTAAATGGTGGTAGTGTGTGTGGAAAAATAAATAAATAAATATTATTTAGGAGTTTAGGGATAATGAAAAAAAAATTTTTTTTTTCATCTTTGGTGTAATTATTATATATATATTAATAATATATAATATTTTCCATTAATAATATATATTAGATCGATCGGCAAAACACAATATTTAAGGGTCACACAATACATATGGAAAAAAATCACAAGACCACAAATTTTAAGGTTTGATAAAAACTTAAACAAAACTTTTGTATTAGTATATTAATATATATACGGTGCAGATCATCTATCTATTATATTAAAAACGTTGCGTTCACGTGCCCTAACATTTAGAATGGCGCGCACGCATAAATAATGTTTTTTGAATTGTTCAATAACGCAAACGTGTGTCACAATCTATCCATTATTGTATCGATGGGTTACGTTTAGACTACCACAAGCACGCAAATAAATATGTTGTGATGCGTAACGTTTTAGACCACCACATGCAATCTATCTATTATTGTATCGATGGGTTACGTTTAGACTACCACAGGCACGTAAATAAATATGTTGTGATGCGTAACTTTTAGACTACGCATGTAAATGATTTTTAATTGTGACACAATAAAATTCCACAATAAAATATTATATTTTTCATTAGTTTTTGATTATTCTCTAACTTTGATAATGTGACATTTTGTAGTCATGAAATCAAATTTAACAAAATTATGTCAATCAAAACTGTTATTTTTTTAAATCTATACATATTTATAATAAACGCAACTAAACTTATTAATGCTATGAATTTACAGTATTAAATAATTTTGAATAAAAAAAATTTACAAGATTATTTATAGTGTGCTCTAGATGTAAACCGTCAGCGAATTAATAAATCTGTAACAGTTACCCGTGATGTCACACGATCAATAACTATGTAAAATTTGTGTAACATTTCTATTTTTACTATTAAAATTCAACACAAGTGCAACTACTGTTTCTTTTTTAGTAAGATTCACGATCTTTTGCGCAGATATTCTTTGAGACATTATTTATTTCCCTGCAAAATTTGAACCATTGCTTTATAAGAGAATGGAAAAGGATGGTCGTTT